CACTGACTACCGGGGGGCGGCTCCTACATTGAGCATCTGCCCCCTGGTGGTCAGTGCTCATCATAGCGACTGGTCAACCGGTTGTTCCAGTTATTAGGTCATAACAGTCGCTTAGGCTTTTATATATACAGATATGCATTGCCTATGGTCACAAACAATAGTGCGGTGAAGGCCTGGCGAGGGGACAGGAACCTGGTGGAGGGGGACAATGAGGAAAAAGGGTGGGGCATCTGTAATACGCTCAACAATAAAGAGTAAAAGTAATTTACTCAGTCTAAAAATAGCTGTCAGATTGAATAGGGAGAATATTTTAAAATAAGTTCTTTTTTTCCCTGGTGAATAGAGCTGGGAAATATAGAATTGTACATTTGAAATCCATATTATTTTATTAACCAATTTCACCCCAATAAATTTAATAAAAATTATGATAATAATAATAATAGATATGTGGATACACACAAAACAAGTTTTTTTCTCATAAGACTTTTCCCCTTGGTCCAAGTAGAGTTAAGAACTTTCAAACTGATACAATTTCAAAATGATTCCAGATTTCTGCCAAAGTATAATACTATGGTCTTATCTCTGACACTGATGACATATTCTGAGGTTCTTAATCTTTGAATCATTTATATTGACATTAAATTGAATTAAAATTTAAAAGGAGTTTACAACTTTATATTCTGGCATATTAAACAAGGAATTCAATTTTCTCAGTTATCAATTCCTTTAAGTTATACATTAACTCCACATAGTATTTATTTTATAATAAAATATACCCAGTTTTATAAATATATACCAGAAATCTGATCTGTACCTGTTATCAAAGCTGTGTGATTTTCTCCACAGGAAATATAAGTTATTTTATGGTCCTTAACAGATTCCATGATTTTGGGTTCCGTAGTTTCAAAGACAAATGTGCCAAGACCCAGTTGACCAAATTGTCCCAGCCCAAAGTTGTACACAGCTTTCTCTGAAAGGGAAGGGGCAAGTACAAGAAAAGGATTGCAGGGAAGCAGATGCTGTCACCATTATATCTAGAAAAACTGTGATATTCAACCTTTCACAATGAAGGTTAAGTATATCTGAAAGAATGCCCATAGTAAGAATACCTAACTATGCATTTCTCAATGATGAAGGAAGAAGAAAAATGTAAAGGTACACAATTGTAAAAAAAACCACCTTCATCTAAAAACATTACATATAACAACTAATATAATTTTTGGTCACATCACCTTTGTAAAATCTAACAATGTAATTAAGTGTTAATAAATAATACAATATTATAAAAACAGATTTCATTAGTTATCTTCAGATCAATACTACTCTAATTTCACAGGATACATTTTGATTTCATGACTAGTAACTTGTTGCCCTGTAGAGATCTTAAGTTTGTCCAAACATAATCTAGAGAAGTTAAGTTCTTATTTTTCTTGGGATCTATATTTCATTGAGGACCCCATCTTATAACCAGGCCTTTCTTGTCTTTTGGTAATGAAAGGGCGAGGACTACGCCCTCTACCTTCCCCCAGGGTAAGGGCTACGCCCTCCACCTTGCCCCAGGGTAAGGGCTATGCCCTCCATCTTACCTTGGCCATGTGCTCAGCAAGGCTTCTTCCCGGAAGCCAAGCCGCTGCTGGCCACGCCCAGGATTTCTCTGGACTGGCCAATGATAGTCAAGGGAAGTGCACGACATTCTGTGTAATGAGACACCGACTTGCGCCTGGCCAATCGGCAGGGCCCACAGTCCTTTCTCCTCCCCTTACCCATCCCCCTATAAAACCTCTCTCCACACAGAGTTTTCTCTCTCTCTGCCACTTGCTGCTGTGCCAGTAAGGGGGGGCAGGGGAGCCAAACCTAGGTTTGAAATAAATGACTCTTTGCTTTTGCATCGGACTCGCTGGCTCCCTGGTGGGCCCTTGGGAATCTTGAAATCTGGGCGCAACAGTAACTGACATACAAGATCACATCTAACACTCTGCCTCATTTAGTGTGTCCAAGTTCCAGTCTGACACTTTCTCAACAGCAATCCATTGTTTCCCTTATTTTAAGGAGAAACTAATCATACCATCACTACAACCAGTAGTTGTATTTTCTAATCTGTCATAGTCACATTTAAATACTACGTTTAAATAAATCCATCAACAATGAACTAATTTAAATTATCTTTGAAGTATTTTAATGAATGATACCTAACTAGATTTTAAGACCAAAGATATAGGCATAAGGAAAAATAAAGCTGGGGAAGGCCCCTATAGAATCATCTAATCCAGGCCCTTTCCTTTAGTGAAGGGAATAGTTTAGAACAGATGGTTAGTTATTCTTTCCTTAAAGGTCTTGCAAAGCATTCTGTAACTCCTAGGTATTCATCTAATACTTAATAAGACTAATGGTCAATCCTCTCTTCCAAGCCTATTTCTTCATTAGGACTAAATATTTAACCTTTCTGTCCACACTGTGCTCCAGAATACAGGTTTCTCATGAGGGCTAGCTCATAATAAAGCTCTCACAGGTCCATGGAGCAATGTGAAAAATAGGCAAAGTAGTGAATTTACCATACAGATAAATTTATACAATTTAAGGGTGTGTCTTTTATAAAATTAAGAGCTTTTAAATTTTTTTCTGAAAATCCCCCTTATGTTATATAATTGTGAAAACATTGTATTTTTTGCAATGTCCATATTTAGTCAAATTAAAATTAAAAGCTGGCAACCATATATTCATATTTTATAAAACAAAAAACATAAAATACAAAAGCTTTATTGGTCTGTGAGATCGCAAAGTATACAAAAGTCTGCGGAAAACAATCAATTTCTGGCAAGATAGCTTTTAACTACAAAACAAAGTCCACAGGAAGCTAAAAGTACCACAGATGATCTTGGTGCTCATTTTACATGAAAATATTTTATAATGTATGGTTGAATGACATTATTATTATAATATTAAGAGGCCCGGTGCACAAATTCATGCACCAGTGGGGACCCTTGGCCTGGCCTGCGGGATAGGGCCGAAACCAGCTCTCTGACATCCCCCAAGGGGTTCCAGATTGCGATAGGGCACAGGCCAGGCTGAGGGACCCCACCGGTGCACGATCGGGGCCGGGGAGGGACACGGAAGGTTGGCCAGCCAGGGAGGGACCACGGGAAGGCTCCAGGGCATGTCTGGCCTGTCTTGCTCAGTCCCGATCAGCTGGACCCCAGCAGCAAGCTAACCTACCAATTGACTGTCTGCCCCCTGGTGGTCAGTGCATGTCATAGCGAGTGGTTGAGTGGCCTTAGCATATCATTAGCATATTATGCTTTGATTGCTTAAATGGACCAGGCGACCAGACACTTAGCATATTAGGCTTTTATTATATAGGATAGTGTCCTTTAGAACTTTCAATCACCTACTAAATTCTTTCTGTAATTTTTGTATAAACTACATAAAATACGTAACATAAAGCATAAATTGCATTTCTGCCTACAGAATTAATTTTCAGATAATTTATAAAGATTAATTTCAAAGTTTAAATCCTAAAATAAATTTTTGAAAATTCATATTGTTGGCAAAAATTCAAAACAATCTTAAACTTCAAAATTATTTCCAAATTTAGAGTGGAAATCTTGAAAAAAATTATTTCTAACTTGGAAAAAGATTCCATATGGAAAGTATAATTCTGGTAAACCATAGCTAATAAGCATGACAAGGACTAGAATAAGAAGTTAAGGAAAAGTTATGTAAGAGGAAAATCTAAAGATAAAATATTGTTCAATCAATATTTAATATGGAAGAGAATTGGATATTATTCAAAATTTGCCTAGAATGCTTTTAACTTTGAGTTACTGAAGATTAATGCTGATTTCTGAAACTGTTCATTTTTTTAACCAAAAAAATCATAATTCACTACCTAACTATATGACCTCTATATTACTCATCTATATATATAAAATCCTAATATGCAAATAGACCGAACAGCAGAACAGCCAAATAACCGAACTGGTTGCTATGATGTGCAGTGACCACCAGGGGGCACACGCGTAACATGGCAGGCGTCGGTAGCAGGTGGCAGAGTGCAGAACATGGGGGCTCCAGCCCCACTCACACCTGCTGCTGGCGCTGGAACCACTGCTTGCACCTGCTGCTGGTGCCTGGCACCGGCCCCAATCGCTCAGTGTTGTCAGCGGGTTTGAGAGCCAGTTGCCAGCCCTGATTGCCCCTCAGGGCTTCTCCACCTCCCCCTGCTCCTGAGGGGCGATGGGGGCCGGTAGCCACCTCTTGTACCTGCAGCCAGCACCAGCCTCAATCGCTCCGCACTGTCAGTGGGTGTGAGCAGTGGCGGTGGAGGGAGCAGGACTGGCAGCCAACAGGGAACCAGGGGCCGCAGCAGGAGGGGGAGGCGGGGGTGCGGAGGAAGGGCCAAGACCCGCCCCTGTGCCCACCACAGTCTCACAGCCCACAGTTCTTTTCAAGGTGCACAAATTTGTGCACTGGGCCCCTAGTCTAAAATAAAGCTAATGCTATACAAATTTAGGAACACCAATTTAGAAAGGATATTATTAAGGAGTATGTATATCTTAATGTATTAACTAGAATAATGAGAAATGACATGTCATGCCAAATACAAAATTCAGAAGCCAAAAGTGACATTACTATTATGGTTCTAACTTTCTTTATTACCTGAATTGAAAATCTTAATACTTTTTAATGAACAACTATAACGGAAAATAAAATCACAAAGAAATCACCAAGTTATATGTGGTGAATATCACAAAGAAAAGAATTATCAATGACTGTAGAAAATAGCATGAAAAGGGAGCTTCTCCAAAAGAAAATATTTCAGAAAAACGTCAATTTTAGATAAATATGGAATATATATATATATATATATATACATATATATATGCATATATATGGAAAAATATATTTCCATACACATATGGAAAAGTTTGCCCTTAAAATTAGCTAAAAGCAATGTCATTGTTGCCAATAAATGTGTTAAGAACATGAAAATACCAATTATGTTAGCAAAAATAATTCAACAAGATTAATTTTTTTCTACTTAAGAAATTCTTCCATTGGCCAGAAATATATATTAACTACAGGAATAAAAGGTGAGGATCTTAACTGAAAAAGATTGAAGGTCAATTTATATGAGCTATCTAAAATAGGCAAACTCTTAGAAGCAAGAGACTAGACTGGTGGTTTGCCAGGAGCTGGGAGGGGGAAGAGGAGAGCTGCTAATCAATGGTATAAAAGTTTCAGGTATGCAAGGTAAGCTATGGATAATACTGTATTGTGCAATTAAAAATCATTTAAAAAGGGTAAATTAAATAATAAGTGTTCTTACCACAATAAAAAAAGGAATATAACTTTTTTCATTAGCCACCACAGAGAGCAAGAAACAGAGCAGCAGGGTCCACACATACCTGTGAGAACCACTGTGTGCCCTCCACCACAAGCTACTTGTATCACCTTCTCAGGAATTCCAGGCACCAGCTGGGGCACTTTGTGATTCATCAGTAGCTGTTTGGGAAGACCTAATTTTCCAAACTCAGGTTCTCCAAATGTATACAGTTCTCCCTCCACTATTAAAGGAAAAGAACAGTGATCAATGACAGCATAAATATGGACAAGATACCGGTCTTTTTAGTACATGTTCTCATGTGCAGTAAAAAATTTAGAAAATGGCAACTTAATAAATTTGAACTTTCTTGAGATATTTTTACTGTATGGTAAGGAAATGAAGCCAGATTTTATTTTCCCTTTGATTATTCTAGTCCAATATCTTCAGGAAGAATTCTCAACAATCACTACTAAGAAAAAACTAGAAAATTATTTTAGCTGCTTAACAAAAAAGCTTCCTTTCTTTTTATTGATTTCAGAGAGGAAAGGAGAGGGAGAGAAAGATAGAAACATCAATGATGAGAGAGAATCATCAACTGTCTGCCTCCTGCACACCCTGGGTATGGCCCTGAATGGAAATCAAACCATGACCTCCTGGTCCATAGGTTGATGCTCAACCACTGAGCCACTGCAGCCGGCTGACTTCTACTCCCTCCTTTTCCCCCCTTTTTAATAAAGTAGAATGACTAGACATTAAACCCTCATAAAGACATAGATTTTGTTTTGCTCATTAAGGTATTCCAAAAACCTAGCAGTGTCTAGTATACAGAGTGTTTAATGAATAGTTGTTAAATAAATGACTAATTGCTTTTTATGAAATTTGTTTCAGAAAACTCATTTACATATGAGTCTTAAGATAACAGATTTTACTGTTAGATGGTACTTCCTCCAGAAAGACTATCAAGGAACCCCTGACATTTAAGCACTGCCTTGGCAATACCAACACTGTTGACTTGCTTCTGTTATTATACTTACCACACTATAATATGACTATGAACTTGTTGAAAGTAGGAATTTCTTTTGTTCATTTCTATGAACTAAACTGAGTTCTATAAAGTAGGGATTTTAAATCTTTGTAAATATATAATCTAATCTAAAGAATGACACAGAACATATCACCACTGGTGTGAGGAAAGAGGTAACAGCAGGTCTTGTTACTTATTAATTGCATGTCTCTAAGAGAACCATGATGGACCACTGACCAAACCCCTGGGAATATGAAGAGTCTCTTTCCACCTGTCTATAAATTCCTCCTGCTTCTCATACCTTAACATGGGTGAAATGTATGGCATGTGAACTATATCTCAAAAAAGCAATTTTTAAAAGGCATTAAAACAATTAAACAAAGCAAAAAGTTCAATTTAACACATGTTGATTAAGATGAACAACCCCACCTCTTCCCCTACTGGCTATAGCAGAGTTTAGTCATAAAAGTGATTCTGGCAGTTTTATTAAAACCCATAAGACAATGCTTTTGCTTGTTTTTCTATTTGTGTTTTTCCCCTTTTTTGTTTTGTTTTATGAACAAAGTGAGCACAGACTATACCAAACCTAGGACCCTAGAGTTACTAATAAGTTGGTAGGTAGTACTTCCCCAAGAAACACAATCAATTGGTCATTCATTCACTTACTCCCCTATCCGACAATATTTATTATCAGTTTGTTCAAGACACAAACTGATCTAGTGGTGAACAATACCAACCAAGCTAGATTTTGCCATCTCTTGGTACCAAGCTGCTACCAATTCACTGGTAATTCTGAGGAGTACTGAGATGAGTCAATTGTCACTTTCTAAAACTAAATCTGAGGTGCATGGAATAAGGAGTAAATGTATAAAGCAAAAATCTAGAGGGATGTCTCTGAGGGGCCACAAAACTATTTCCTCTAGGTGTTTTACTATTAGAAAAACCATCAATAAGATGGAAAAACAAGTTCATAGTGTAGATGCAGACTATAATAGAGTCCAATATTTCAAATATTTTAACTAAGGTAGAAACAGTAGCCAGTGAACCAAGGAAAAGGAGAAATTGAGGATGCTGAGAAAAGTCCCACCAAAGGAAATCATATCCCATACTGACTTCTTTTCTTTTTCCATCTACTCTTTATCCTGTTCCCACAATGAAAGTCTATGCCTTACTTATTGAAACAATAAAAACAAATTATCAGGACAAGAGTAGAATACATAAAAGTACAGAGACAAGTAGATTCAAAGGAAAGTGGCCTACAGGTAAAGTTTTTTATGCCAAATGATTCCAAGAACTTTGAGATCCAAAACTTAGAAGGGTTTCTAACATATACATTTTGTTTTTCTAATACACCTAATATTCATTAAAAAGTTAGTAAGTCAGATAGAGTTTGAAATTATAAACTCTCATTACTGAAACAAAGAAATACTATTTTAAAACAGACCAAAATTATTCCATTACATGGACTACTATGGCATTATTTTTATGGAACTGTAGGATGCTATATCACTTTATGATTAACTAATAACTTAAAATGGGAGATATGATGAATCCAAAATGTTCTGTCTTACTTGTTACAAAAGCTGAATGGTAATATCCACAAGAAATCCAGGCAATAGGTTTCCCAACAGTCACTTCATGAGGAAAATACACATTACATACATTATTTAAGCCAATCTGCCCTTCAGAATTTTCTCCCCACATAAAAAGTTTTCCATCCTCTATAAAGAAAACACAAGGAGAAAAAAGGGTTTTAAAAAGTGGCAGATCTATGAAGTTACTGTATTATATTTCGAACAGCCCATTTATTTTTTAATTTAGAAAAATTATGTTTTAAAAGAAAAGTACTCCTAAGACTTTTATACCATTTAGCTACTTAACAGTTCAATTTCTAGCATAAAATGTTTCTATCCTATATAATAGAAGGCTAATATGCAAATCGACCAAACGGCAGACTGACTTGTCACTATGACGCACACTGACCACCAGGGGGCAGATGCTTAACGCTTAAAGCATCCTTCCAGGGGAGGGACAAAGGGAGGTTGGCTGGCCAGCCCCAATAAGGGCAGATCAGGGCTGGCCGCCCAGGGGGAGGAACTGTGGGAGGTTGGCGGGCCAGGGAGAGGGACCACTGGAGGTTGGATGGCAGCAGGAAGTTGGCTGTGGGAGCACACTGAACACCAGGGGGCAGCTCCTGCATTGAGCATCTGCCCCCGGTGGTCAGTGAACGTCATAGCGACTGGTCGACTGGTAGATCCAGTCATTCTGGTTGTCCAGTCGTAATGATTGCTTAGGCTTTTATATATATAGACTAGAGG